TGAGCAGTTTTCCGTGTCTTCTTAATGATGATCCTCGTCGCCCCTTCTCCACGATGGACACCAAGGTTTTCCGCGCTGTAAGTCGGATTCGTCTGATTTCATGTTCTTCGTGTGAACCGAAGCAAAAACCATGCTTTCACAAATTGGCCTCGTCGATCTATGCGCATTTACAATAATTAATAATTTTCAGCATTGTTCGATGAGGGTTAAATCATGTCAGATATATCTTTTAATTTTTCATATGCGAGCAACATCAACTTTCTCATCGCCTCAACTGGAAAACAACGGTTTTTGCCTCGGCTAATGAGAGCAATCCGTTGCTGGATCACGGGAACAAGCAAATAAACTTCAGCAGCAGCGTCGTCCTGTTAATTGCTTTCCTTTTTCTCTCCGCTCTCATACAATGGGTTGGGAGTGACGGAGGGGGGGGGGGGCAACGATTGTCACAAATAATGATATACTAACACTAAACTGAATAACGCAGTAGTCAACAGCTGGCCAGAGTTTCATCTTGCTGTCTTTAATCGTCTTGCCTTTGCCTTGACGTTGACATCTTTAAAGTTGAAAGTTTGTAATTCTTCATATCTTTGCTTTTGGGAGATTTCATAGTTCCACTTTGCACCTTTCCTTTTCAACTGCGGTTGTAAGGTCACCTTAGCTCGTATGTTAGCGTTTTGTGGCTTGGGATCTCGGAAAAGCATATGGATGTAAACATGCATTTATAAGACGCCATCAACAGGAGCAATGACCCCTGTAATAACCGAACGATGTGTTTCTGTATTTGCTATGATGATTATGCCGCCGTTTGCATTAACAAAACTTCTCTGGTAAACGAATATCAGGGATCAATGAAATGCTGCCAGATATGAATAGAAATGTATTTAATCAATCTCCTGTGAATGATGTGTCACATCTGCTTATCTGTTTAGAGTGTTAATAATGAATGTGATACACTACAAATTAATTGACAACAAAATGTTTCACTGACAACACGCAATATCTGCCCTTGAATAAACACTGTTCATTTTCCTCTGAAGAGTGTTATATTGCCTTTGGGATGTGTGTTGATATGTGTAGGTGGGTGGGTGTCTATCGGGGTCATTACCTTGAGCCGTTTGCATTGGCAGAACTTCTTTGGTTTGTGATGCCCTCTGTATTCACAACTTTTCAACAATTTGTGATAAGGTACCGCTTATTGTATTTTAAAGAAAAACAATCCTCATTTATACCAGATCTGCCTCTGCTTTACTCCTCACTGTTGCACGCTGGCCTCCTGGTCGACATCAGGCGTGTCCATCAGAAGCTCACGCACCGAAGTACACGGCTTATGTTGAATCAGTTTGCCTAACAGGGTCAATCTCCTTTTCTTAATGTCCATATCTGTAGAACTCGCCTATGCCTGAAAGAGAATAGTCATTCTTTGCGTGGTCCTGCCACGCAGAACCTTTGACTGAGTGTCTGGTTGCGGCTATGCAGTAACTCCTTCACTGAGCTTCGTTTCTATCTCAATTTAAAAATAGATGCGACCGCTTTCGAAAATTTCTGCATATAGATTTAACCTATTACATGTCGGTATCTTAAGGAAAACCTTGACGATTCGAAGGAAATTATAAGTTCTTTGATCACCAGCCGCTTTGCCAACAGTGGGTCGGTTTATTTATGGTATTCTCAAAATGCGAACAGTGAATTTTAATGATTCTTGTTGTTTATTGTCATTTCTGAGAGCCAACGAATTCTGTCATCCGATGCTAACGAATTTTGAGCAACATAGTAACCGAGATTTGCGACCCATCGCTGCCAACTGAAATCAGTCTCACGCTTAACCTCGAAAGACCTAACGAGAGGTTTCTCAAAATTTGGTACTTTTCACAAGCGCATTTGCGACTACCTT